GCCTTCTACACCCCGTATCGCAGCGCAGGAAAAGAAAAGTGGGACGAAGACTGGTTTCACATGCTCGAACACATGGCCGACGAGATTGAAAAGTTCAAAGCGAGTGAAGAAGGAAAAGAGTTTTGGGGCGCGAGAATGATCTGGACCACCATCCGTCAGTTTGGAACCAAGCAAGTTATTGAGAGTATGTCACACAGCATCAGTGCAATTAATATACCTAAATGCCGTAAAAACACAATTTCAACCACTAACAGTGCATCAGGCATGAAGCAATGCATAGAAATGAAACTCGAGTTCCCCGAAATCATTGCAGGTTACGACCTTGTCGGCCAGGAAGATCTTGGACGCTCTCTCTCCGATCTAGCTCCTGAACTCTTCTGGTTCCGCAAAGCATGTGCACAAGAAGGTGTCGACATACCCTTCTTCTTCCATGCGGGTGAGACGCTTGGTGATGGCGACTCCGTAGACGAGAATCTCTTCGACGCCATTATCCTCGGTACTCGACGCATCGGCCACGGCTTCAGTTTGTACAAACATCCGCTGTTAATTGATATGGTCAAGGAGAAACGGATCCTAGTGGAAAGTTGCCCAGTTTCCAACGAAGTGTTGAGGCTATGTGGAAGCATCATGTCACATCCTCTACCAGCGCTCCTCGCCCGTGGCGTCCCTTGTTCGTTGTGCAACGATGATCCAACTATCTTGGGCCAGGGTGTATCGGGTATGTCGCACGATTTCTGGCAGGCTCTCCAGGGCTGGGAGAATCTTGGATTGGAGGGTTTGGGCTCCCTCGCAGAGAACAGTGTGCGTTGGGCTAGTCTTGACGATTATAGTGCAAAAGATTGGACGCAAGATATCAAGGATGGCATGTTTGGTAAGGGCATCCGTGCACAGAGGCTGAAGGAGTGGGTTAGCAAATGGGAGAAGTTTTGCGCCTGGATTGTAGACGAATATGGGGTTGATGTGAATGTCGAGCCAGAAGAGTAAGTGGTTACAGATTTCGAAGTGTTAGTTTACCTATCTCGAATAAATAAGATTCAACATCGTATCGTCATACTACTACATGTTCAGCGATTCATTCGTACTCCAAAGCTAGGGAATTGCGATTCGATAGATTCAACAGAGTTTGGCCGTCTTTCACACTATTGCCAGTCTAGGAAAATCATTCCTTCTCAGCTATAAACAGACTTTGACAAAGGAAGAAAACAAGCAACAATATGCAATAGGTGTTTGAATTGGAGCCAGCAAATGGAAGGGAGGAAGAACAATAGTAGAGAACAGTAAAATCTATGAGAAATGCTTGCTGAAAGATGAGGGAAGTTTGTTGCGTTTCGGTGCCATCTTCGATACATGCTGTGGGGCGACAAGGGCTGATGCACCCACATTAGACGTACCTGTCCGTTCTGAGACTAGTGCCGTTACCCTGCAACCATGTCTGGCTCTGGCGCGTCATCGTAGCGCATCACGCGTCGACACAGGCGCCGAACGTGCAACATGGTGTTTCCAAGTCTCGCACAAGACAGCACCCAAACCTGCCGAAACCCATCCTGCATTTACGCCAGACTTCTACCAATCTAGTTTAACATCCAAGTGACTGCTGTGCCGGCTTCAGTTCTTCGTTCCTAACCATAAGCCTTGACGGCTATACTTAAGGAGCACGTCCCCTTACCGCGCCTAGTACCTAAGTACGTTCTTCAGAAGCCCTGTCAAACGACGATTTTGTTGGGATCTCGACAATATGCGTGCAAGTGTTATATTGGCGGGAGCATCGCTCTCGATTTCAGCCTCGGCTTGGAATACAGATGGTAGGCTGTGATGCTATGCCCCGAGATGTCCTCTACTGAGTCAACCCAGTCCATAATCAAATCGGCTTTATGGCAGAGACGTTCTTCACACCAGAAACCACCTCAGTCCTTGCTAAGATCCTCGAACCACAGTATAACGGCTCCGTTGGGCGCTCGGCAGCATGGGCAGACGCTTATGCACACACCCAAGAAGGTCGCTTTTCTTACCAATGGCATTGGATAGACACGCATGACAGCCCACCAGAGAGATGCCATCTAGAATACAATCACGACTGCGCCATTGGTGGATGTGTGGTGAGCGCCATCGCGAATCAGACGAGCATCCTGCGCGGATGCATAGACCAGGTTCAAAGTGGCCATTTAACAGGAGGGGCCAATCTGACCTGCTCTTATGCTTTGAAATGGGTAGCGCATTTCTTCGGAGATATCCACCAGCCTCTACATGCGAGCGGACGCGCAGTAGGTGGTAACACTTATAAAGTAGTATTTGGAAACATCTCTACCCAACTACATGCTGTAAGTCTTGTTCGTTGGTTGAAGTATCCAAAGCTCATCAGCACAGGTCTGGGATGGCTATATACCATACTATGCGGCGAATGTCAGTCACCCATTCTCCAACCAATCCATCGATGCCTTTTTCACCGGTCTTGTCACGCGCATTCAGAAAGACGAATTCTACTCGGCACCATACATGTGGCTGTCCTGTGTGGATCCCTCGACTCCAGAGAAATGCGCAACTACCTGGGCAAAAGAGAGCAATCGATGGGATTGCGATTACGTGTACCAGCGTGTACGAAACGATACCGATCTTGGAACAGATGGGTATGCAACCGGTGCTGTCCCTATTATTGAATTGCAGATTAGCAAAGCTGCACTCAGGTTGGGCACGTGGCTGAATAAACTTGTGGAAGAAAGCAAACATGCCTCTACAGAGTCAGAGATAATTGAGCTTTAAGTCTTATCTGGGCACATGATAGCTGGCTAGCTAGCTAGCTAGAGGCTGGGTCCGTAGCCCAAGTTAGAATAATTACAAAGTCAGCATTCCATCCGTGTATCCGAAATAGTCTTTGCTTCCAATGAACAAGACCAAGTCCGCCACAACAGCTATACGCCTCTTATTTTGTGCACAGTAGACGAAGTAATATTGATCTCCATATATTCTTCATCTCTTTGTGTGTACAGTATAAGAGGCCTCTTGCTCCATTCATTTCCCTCCTGTGCTCTTGAAACCGAGTAGGTCAACTAAAAAATTTCAAAATTCATTCACATACGATCATAGGCGAAGTATTGCTCTGGGTCTCGTTCGCTCCCCACACGATAAACCTTTGACCGGCGGACTAGTAGTCAGGTGGGTGACCACTGGCGAATCCCCGCTGTCGTATGTTTTGCAGTTTTTTTGCAACCATAGTCAGCACCACGTGACTTCTACCCGGTATTCCATCTCCCCACTGCTTTCTATCGCCATGTAACTCACACTGACATCAGCTGATGGAAGATGCGATAGGAGAAAACACATCTCAGTGATACGAGTACACTGATAAAGGAGTAGACTCGCGTATGTTTTGACCGTCGAAAATGGTATTCCAATTTTTACAACCAAAATACACTACAAAAGTATTGATAGTATGTACCGCTTGAAGTATTCGAGCCGCACAGAACCAGTGTCGACAACGACTTGGCGTCAGACGCGTTACTACCAGCATGACGGGACCCCACATCGGCATTGCGTACTACGTTCTACCTCCCCACATGTGTGTACCCACTCGCCTCTCTGCAACTACTTCCACAGTTTAGATAAATTCTTTTCCTTCGTGGCTTCGTTTTACCATACTAGCATCTAGTCTACTAATATAAAAGATAACGCCAACCAGTATGGCATTTGAAGAACTTAACGAAAAGATCACCCCAACGGTATGTTCATACAAAGGCCCCACATTCGCTCTTCCGCATTCCCATCTTATGTAGGAATGTATCGAATCGCGAGAGAATCCCAATGACTACTTATTCACTGCTATACGAAGAGTGTGTTAATAATGTTTTCAGAACCCTAGTCGCGAAGTATCACCAAATCGCGGATCTTCAGTACCTCAATCTGTCGCCATTCCTAAACCCTGCAAGCCACTGCGACAATGGCAGCAAGAACAGAACATCGATCGCGACGCACAAATCAAACTCACCAAACTCGTCCATATGCGATATCAGCATCCAGACCTTGATGAAATCACCAAGTTTCTACGCGACTTTGGCATGAGTGTAGCCCAAAAAGCCGAAGGCAAGAAATGGTTCAAGGGATACAATGACGAACAATACGTTTACTATGCACAACAAGGCGAAAAGAAGTTCCTGGGAGGCTGCTTCGAAGTCGAAAGTTACGCAGAATTAGAAAAAGCAGCCAAAGTTCCAGGCGCAAGTCCGATTGAAGAATTGACCGATGCCCCAGGCGGTGGATCCATGGTCACCTTACACGATCCAGAAGGCTTCCCCATCAACCTCATATATGGCCAAACAAAAAAGGAACCCGGCCCCTTCCCTGAAGTCCTAACCACAAACTATGAAAAAGACAAACCACGCATCGCTCGCTTCCAGCGCTTCAAACCTGGACCCGCAGCCGTACACAAACTAGGCCATTACGGTCTCTGTGTGCAAAATTTCCAAGAGGAAATGCAATGGTACACTCGAACTTTCAACATCGTACCCACGGATTTCCTCTACGTCAACGTACCCTCAGATGACCCTGCATCGCCCCCTCAGCAAAAAGATGTGGCCATCTTCGCGCACATCGATCTCGGACCAGGCTACACCGATCACCACACCATCTTCTTGTCTTCAAACCCTACATCGCATGTGCACCACAGCAGTTTCGAAGTTCACGACTTCGACACGCAGAATCTGGGGCATGAGTGGTTGGCGCAGCGGGGTTATAAGAGCGTTTGGGGCGTAGGTCGGCATATTCTGGGGAGCCAGTTGTTTGATTATTGGTGGGATACTACAGGGAATATGATTGAGCATTACGCGGATGGGGATCTGGTGAATGAAGATACGCCGGTAGGGTGGGGGGAGGCAGGGGATGAGAGTTTGGCTGTTTGGGGGCCGGAGGTGCCAAAGTGGTTTTTGGATTGAGCTTATCGTAGTATGATTTGTTCGTCATGTGTATTTAAATCAGTGCAAAAAATTTGAACTGATAGTTGACAGAGACAACTACCACTGTTTTACTCTTCCCCATCCTCTATCCGTTATCCCGTCATTTTCAAAAAACCTTCCGCTAACCCTCGTCTTGCTATCGCTATTCAGACCTCCATCTTCGTTGCCGCCTTCTCCTAGATCACCGATAGCAAGTCTTACAGGTATTCTCGCGCCCTCCTCTAATGTCTTTGGTGGCTTCCCAATATGATTTCCCATATCGCTGTCTACCCAGCCAGGACAACAGCAGTTAATTGCTACACCCTCATTCTCTCTCGCCAAAACCAGCGTCAAAGCATTCATAAGCGCTTTGCTGACTTCATAAGATTTCGGCGGCGCTCCGAAACCGGCCTCCTCGTGTTTCTGGGACTTGACAGCATCAATGTATTCTTGAGCCAAGGCATCGATGTATAAGACTGAATTTGCAGAGCGGAAACGTGATTGTATGGTAGACGTGTAGTATGAAAGGGAAGAGACGGTACTACTGACGTTTACGATGCGCGAGTTTGGTGTCGTGTTCATTTTTCCTTTGGTGAGGAAGAGCTGGCACATATCTTTTGTGCCATAGTAATTGACATTGAGCGTTTGTTCGGCTAGCTCGGTTGTCTCGTAGTTATTATTGTGTATGCCGGCGTTGTTGATAAGGACGTCAATTTTGCCATCTTTCTCCAAGGTGTTGCTTATGAATGTTGTGATGGAGGATGTGTCTGAGATATCGAGTTTTGCATATCGGATCTCGTTGGGGGACAAAGGTTGGATTTGGGGGTCTATGCCACTGCGAGATGTCGCATAGATGTACAATGGTTGTGGATATTAGGTTTTTGCAAGGAGTTTGATTATGCCTTGGCCGACGCCTCGATTGGTCCCAGTAACGACAATGATCAGTGGTTGCGACATCTTCTTAGTTTTTTGCAATGGAGTCTGGAATACTAGATTGGACACTAAGATACTATCATGAGAATGAGGGCGAACTCTAAGTATTGAAGTCGTGATGTCAGTACTGTCTATGACGTAGCGATCACCGCGTAATTTTGTTTCTACGCGAGTGTTGGGGATTGGAGAGAGAGCCTCGAAAAGGCAGTTACCAGTTTATAGGTTTATGCAACCCCTACTATATAGCTCCGGCTAGGGTCCTTGGAATTCCCCAATCTGGGTCTTTTGTCTACCCCGCTTCGACTGTCAGCGTTCCCCAACATATCAGGTGCGATACCTTGTTTCTAAATGTTGGCAAATCAGTCCATCATCCCGAACAATAGGACTAAAGTACTATGGATCTGCCAAAGAGTTGAGCAATTACACGGCACTATACCGTATGACTTGTCTGAGGAGAATGAACATATATTTGAAGCCTAGAAGATGTGCTTTGACAGGACCAAGCGTAGCTGGCGCTTGCACGAATGCTCATTTATTGTGTCTACGTCTCGCCATAATCTTGCCAAATATTTGGATTCATGGCACTCATACCAACGCGGATTATAGGCAAATGTGCGCACGAATCAATGGTGTAGCTGTTATTACCGGTTACAGGAGGCCTTAACGATGCCTAATTTGTCCAAGGCAACAACGCGCTAGTGCGATGTCTTGCCCAAGTACCTAAAAGCATCGAATTCCCATCTTCAGTCTTTCTAACAAACCTCAAATACATTCGAAACCAAAGAAAGTTCTGAACTCTAAAGCAATGGCTTCCGGCGGGTGCAACAATTGTGCTGGTTGCACACTTGCGCGTCAAAGAGCGGAACAGCGGGCCGCAGAGAAACGCAAAATATTGAACCCGAAATGTAACTGCGACTCCGACATAGGACCTGAAGCATGCCCAATTGTCACCAAGTGCAAAGAGCCCCTCGCTTGGTCTATATCCCCCTCCAAGGTCAAAGACCAAAGCAGATCTTCTCTCTATTCACTCATCCCGGCAGAGATTCGAGATTTGATCTTTACCTTCGCTCTCCAAGACACAACATCCTGTCCCATAGACCGCGAGCCTGCAACACCCAACGATCCAGGGATCCGTCGAGATCGCTATTTCCACCGTGGAAGCTGGCGAAAAGCCTTTTTCTATCCGTCCGACATCGCCTTCAACCTCCTCCTGACATGCAAAGCGGTGTATCTGGAGACATACGACAAGCCGCTGCGTGTAAACCCCTTTATCATCACCGAACTCACCGACCAGGTCAAAAGGCATCTCTTACTGCCCTGGCAATTCGCACAGATAACGCGACTGGATATTAAACTCCCACAAATGAGTCTGGAAAACGGAGGGCTAAGAAACGCATTGAAAAAGTGGGAAGCACAGGCTCGACATGAAAATTGCTACGTTGTTCCCCGGCAAGCTCTTATCCTCCAGGATTTTGATGACAGCAAGACTGGAGACTACCCCATTTCCTTTGACAACGTCCTCATACCTGCTATTACAAATACACCCAAAAAACGACCCCAGCCCATCAATGACGTGCTAAGTCACGCATTCGTCAAAGAGATTAGCGCGCAGCCTTGTTCATCCAGCTCGCGCGTTTGCCTTGCGGGCAAGATAACTCATCTTACTCTACGCCTCACAGCTCAAGACTGGTGGACATGGACCGATGACCCAGCCTCCACCGATCCGCACCAAAACCTCCGTCTTGATCCCACCTTTGGCGCACCTTTTCGCTCTCGTGGATCAACAGACGAAATGAAACTACTAGCAAGTGACCGCACAGCAGGTCAGCCTCCAAGTCTTAGTGCAGAGTGCTGGGGCACACACGTTACTTCTTTGTTACCTGATCTGCGGGTCTTGGAACTGGTACTGGAGACATTCAAGGAGAAGACAGATCAATTGGATACGGTGGTAGAGTGTGCGAGGACCTGGAAGTTTAATGTGGGCAAGGAGACGCTGATTTGGGATGGCGAGTTTGTAGAGAAGAGCTACACGAGAGAAATGGCGGGGTTGAGGCTGCCCAGGAATGCGCGGTGGCATGATCAAAGTATGGATTTGGAAGTTATGGTTGTAAGATTTGTTCGGGAGAGGAAATAGGTTGTAATGGAATATTTTGATTGAAAAATATACTGGTCATGATACGATAACTAAGTATAAGGGGTAGGAGGCATCTCAAATCTTGCTTCCACCGGATTGCGGGACCTTAACAACAACTTTGCCCCAACTATCCCTACCACCAAGTGCCTTCAATGCAGCAGGCACACTCTCCAAGCCTACGTATTCCTGATCCGTGAATGCAGTTCCTCTGTACTTGCCCTCCTTGACCAGCTTGAATATACCATCCCAGACTACATCTTGCATTTCTGGCTCGTGGACCGCGTAAGCGCCCCAATGCAATCCTACGACGCTCACATTCTTCAGCAGAATGCGGTTAGTAGCCATCTTCTCAATATCACCGGCTGCAAAACCAATAACAAGCAGGCGTCCGTTCCAGGCGGTGCACTTCATAGATTGTGCGATGAGACCAACAGGATCGTAGACGATATCTACGCCGCGGCCTTTGGGTGTGAGCTTCTTGACTTGCTCAGGCCAGTCAGCATCGCGATATGAGACGGTGTAATCGGCGCCAAATGATCGCGCAACGTCGAGTTTGTGGGGGCTACCAGCTGTGGCGACGACAGTTGCGCCAAAGGCTTTTGCGATTTGAACGGCGGCTAGACCGACACCACCAGCTGCGGCGTGAACGAGCACCCAGTCGCCTGGAATTGGGTCAGATATACAACATACTGAGGAGTTGAGTAGTAAAAAAAGCAAGACATACCCTTCTTGATTCCGGCCCGGACAACCAATCCGGCGTAACTTGTAGGTGCTGTGACAAAGACACCAGCTGCATCTTCAAAGCTCCAGCCCTCAGGCATGCCTTTCAGCTTCTCCTCTGTGGAAACAATATGTGTCGCATATGCACCCTGTCCAGCACCAAAGACCTTGTCGCCTTCCTTGAACTTGGGTGTCTTGCCTCCCGGGAGAGAAGTGGGCGCTTTCAGCACGACGCCCGAGAATTCTGAGCCAGCTACCCATGGGAATGGTGGTTGATGTTGGTACTTTCCTCGGATTTGGAGAAGATCGAAGAAGTTGGTTCCCGAGGCGTGAATGGCGATTAGGTACTCGTTGGGTTTTGGTTCAGGCGTGGGTAAGTCGAGGACTTTGAGATCCTCTGGGCCCTGCGATTTTTAGTAAAAATAAGAAGAGGGAATCGACTCAGGCATCGTTACCTTAACATATTCCTTAAGTTGAATGCCTTTCATATTGTAGGACTGGGAGTTTGATTAAGAGTGCTAACGCAGTGTCGATATGTCAATGGAGTCTCGGGGTCCGATATCAGACGGAAACGTCAGTCCAAAGGGGTAGAGACAGGAGGAAGTGCAAGAGTGAAAGACCGAGACGGTCCATTGCGACATGGATAACCGCAGCGAGCTCCTCTCCATGCCAAAGATACCTCGGCTTGCATACCCCGGACGACCTCCGCTCCCACTCCACCCTGAGCTTGGCGTATTTCCTTAGTCAGCGACAGCCGCACGCACAGCCATGCACGGATACACGCTAATGACGCCAGGGTAAGTGGTAGCGTTGGCGGGGGCCAGTGACGTTCTACCGCCTTCCAATCGAATCCAGGGCCACTCACAGCCACTCCATCTGCTTCAACACACCTGTTCTTCTTGCCAGCACACGTATCTCGCCCCGGAGACACAGTATTCTTCCCGCCGCCCTGTAGTCCAAAACTATACACAATCCCCTCGCTACCCACGCTCGTGCGAAACAAATAGCTACCATGGCTGACGACGCCGCCACGTCCGCCGAGGAAACGCAGATAACCTTCAATGTGAAGGCCGCAAACGACCAGAAGCATGTCCTCACCCTTCCAAGCACCACCACCGTCGCCGACCTCAAGGCTAAGCTTTCGACGTCGGAATACGCAGATGTTCCCGCTGACCGGCAACGTCTGATATATTCGGGCCGCGTGCTCAAGGACCCTGACACACTGGCAAGCGTCAAGATCAAGGATGGGCACACAGTACATCTTGTCAAGGGCGCTGCCAGTAATGCGAGACAGAATCCCGCAAGTCAGGGCACAGCAAGCACTGCTGGCACGGGCACCACACCTACCCCTCAGGTACCCACCAACATCGCCGCCGGAACAGGCAACAACCCTCTTGCGGGACTTACTGGTGCGCGCTATGCCGGCTTCCATGGCTTGCCTGGCATGGACATGTTTGGTCCAGACGGAGGCGTGAGTTCATTCAAATCTACATGGCCTAGGAAAATCATGCTGACATACACCAGATGGGCCCACCGCCGACCACTGAGTCCATGCTCGAACAGATGGAGAACCCCATGTTTCTGTCCCAGCTAAACGAGGCTATGAATAACCCAGCGGTAGTCGATATGATGTTGCAAAGTCCTATGGTACGTCTCCTGTCAGCCTCGTGTCCACTCCGTCTGACACATGATAGATTCGTGACAACCCGATGCTTCAACAAGTGCTGCGAGACCCCGAAATGCGCCGTATGATGTTCAGCCCGGAGATGATGCGCATGCAGCTGCAAATGCAACGGAACATGGGCGGACGTGCGCCTGGTGCTCCGCCTAGCTTCCCAGCGCCTGGTACTACAGATAACACACCGCAATCAGGTTCTACGGCAACAGGTGAAGGTGCCACCGCGACACCCAACCAAACTAATACAACCACACCACCAAACCCCTTCGCAGCCTTTGGTGGAGGAGCTGGAGCCGGAGCCGGAGCCGGAGCCGGAGCCGGAGCCAACCCATTCGCTAGCCTGTTCGCGGGAGGTCAGAACCCATTCGCCCCTCAGCAACAGCAGGGCGCAAACACTGGTGCGCCACAAAATACACAGGACGCCTCAAGCACCTTTCCAAACTTGTTCGGTGGCGCTGGCGCGCAAGGCGGTCAGACCAACCCCATCGCAGAGGCCGCGCAACGAATGATGCAAAACCCAGAAGCCATGCGCAACATGATGCAGATGATGGGTGGAGGCGCTGGAGCAGATCCATTTGGTGCTGCAGGTGGTGCCGGTCAACCACCAGCTGGCAACCCTTTTGCCGCTCTTTTTGGTCCTGGTGGATTTGGTTCACCCCCACCACCGGCTGACAACCGCCCACCGGAAGAGGTTTACGAGACACAATTGAGGCAGCTCAATGAAATGGGCTTCTATGAATTTGAACGCAATGTTTCTGCCTTACGGAGAAGTGGTGGCAATGTTCAGGGTGCTATCGAGTATCTACTCAACGGCGCAGTGTAGCATGCTTATCTGAGTATTATCTTGATATCTGAGCCAGTGTCGCAACGATTGCTGACAGCAGGCGAGCTGGCGACGATTGAGCGATACGAGGAAGAAGAAAGAATGGCTGAGGAGGATTTCGGAAGTGACATCGACGGCATCTTGGATGCCTACGACAGCGAAGAAGACTGGTCATTCGAGTACGAGGCGGACAAGATGGGTTCTTTGGACCTTTGACATCTTTTCTTTTTTGTAAAATGGATCGAGCAGGTGTAGTAATATTCGCTAGGAAGTTAGAGTTGGGTGTATGAATAGATACAATAGCAATGATACCACTAGGCAGAACAGTAACAAAATCGCCATTCGCCAAACCCTCACTTTCAAGTTGCTTGCATACGTGAAGATGTTTTGCCAGAATCGTTATTGTTTTTCATTTCTTTTCAAAACTGATTAGGTATGCGAATAGACCGTCATGTATGTCTTTGTTATGATATATATGTATGTTTTTGTGCGTTTCAAATCCCCCCCCTCAATTTTAATCAGGACGTCAAATCGAGACTAAATGTGTAAAAACGCCTCATGGCAACCTTGTTGGCAACCACTGATGAAACCAGGAATTTCCCACTCCCTTCCTTTTCAGTCTTTCCCNCCCCCCCCCCCCTTTTGTTTTTTTTCGGCACAATTTGCGGAGAAAAAAAGAGAAAAAAAAAGGGTAAACAATCGAGCAACAGGGACATGAATTAGAGAGAAAGCAAACGCCACAGCAATGCAAGTTCCGCGCAGAGAATTGAGCGAGAAAGAGAGAAAAAAAAGGGGGGGGGGGAAGGAAAGAAAGCCAACGCAGGATTTCAATCTTCGAACGGAAGTGGAGGAGAGGAGGGATGAGGCCTACATTTTGCAAAAATACCAAAACAATGGCACAAAGCTTAATACTCTTGCGGCACCTAGTCACGCACGCTGAGACCCGAACGATCTGTAAACATGCGGGTCGCAATGTTCATAGCGAGGAGTTCTTGGAAGAGCAGTTTTGCGGCGTAAGGGATGTGGATTTGTGAAACGCGGGTTTTGTTGTGGCAAGGACGGCATTCGTAGAGGCCCTTTTTGAGTTGGCTATTTCGTAGCACGTTAGTGACTGAATCACAGGATACAGGGAGGAAGAAGGGAAAGAAACTTACGCAATAGGACTCATCAGACCGCAAATGTCGCATACGTGGACGGTGTATGCGTCAGAGACGGTAAAGAGACGTTCCTTGAGGAAGGCAGCGGCACCGTGGGCAATCATACAATCACGTTCCATCTCTCCGAAACGGAGACCACCATCTCTGGCACGACCTTCGACGGGCTGGCGGGTGAGAATCTGGAGGGGGCCGCGGGCACGAGCGTGGATCTTGTCGTCGACCATGTGGCGGAGACGCTGGTAGTATGTGGGACCCAAGAAGATTTGCGTACGCAACTTTTTACCAGTGTGACCGTTGTACATGATTTCAAACCCACGCTTCTGGTAGCCGGCGTCTTCGAGCAGCTGGGAGATTTGATCGACCGTGACGTCGGTGAAGGGTGTGGCGTCACCCTCTTGTCCGGTGATGGCACCGACCTTGGATAGCAGACATTCGACCAAATGGGCAATTGTCATACGAGAAGGGATGGCGTGAGGGTTGATGATTAGATCTGGTGTCACTCCCTCTCGAGTAAAAGGCATATCCTCTTGGCGGTAGGTGATACCAATAGTACCCTTTTGACCGTGACGAGAAGCAAACTTGTCACCAATTTGAGGTATCTTGGTAGTCCTGGTACGGACCTTGACGAATCGAAGACCTTCGGTGTTGGTGGTGAAGAGCACCTGATCGACGATACCGTTCTCGGTACTACGAAGAGGCGTTGAAACATCTCGCTTGGTGTGCAGAGTAGTCTTCTGACCAAGCTCCTGGGCGTCTGCCGCGATGGGCGCAGTCTTTCCGATGATGATATCGTCACCGGACACACGTACACCAGGCGCGACAACACCGTCATCGTCGAGCTTGTCATAGGTACCACCCTTCAAACGAAGAGTGTCAGCACGCGTAGGTTTCTCGAACTGTTCCAGGACGTTGACACCGATGCGCTTCTCTTGTTCAGTGTACGCACGGTAGAATAAACTCCTGAAGAGACCACGATCAATACTGCTCTGGTTCATGATGACGGAATCTTCCTGGTTGTAACCACCATAGGTAGCAATAGCGACAATGGCATTCTGTCCAGCGGGAAGCTCACGGAACTTGAGGTACTCCATCGACCTGGTTGTCGCCAAAGGCTTCTGGGGGTAGTAGAGGACGTTCATCATGGTTTCCATACGGAGCGCAAAGTTGGTGAGAGCAACACCCATGGCTTGCTTACCCATGGCAGATTGGTACGTGTTACGGGGCGACTGGTTGTGATCTGGGAAGGGAATAATACTGGCACAGATACCCAAGATCATGGCCGGATGAATCTCGCAATGGGTATAGGCGTGAATGCGAGGATCTGGCTGGGGCTTGAGACGACGGAGTCGGTCCTTGCCCTCGGTAGATCGCTCGGCTGCAGGCAAACCCATCTTCATCTCTCGCCATTCCTCCAAATCTTCGGGCGAGAACGTTATCATGGCGGTTTCCTCTTCTTCGGCATCGAGATATTCGACAACACCGTCTTGAATCAGACCTCTCCAGCCGTAGGTGGCCTGTTCCACCTCCTCTTGGCTCCAGCCTTGCCGTGTGCTAGTCTCTTGCTGCTCGGCCTTGAGCTTGTTACTGATTTCCTTGGTGAAGATGAGGTGATTTCGGTTTGGCTTTCTGATATCGTTCTCAACCACGAACAGAGGTCTCATGACACGGCCAGCATCCGTGAAGATCTTGAACTCTCGGTCACGAATATCACGAATCAAACTCATCTCGTAAGATAGAGTTCCATTCCGTCGGAGCTCCTGCACAACTGTGACAAGTTGCTGAGCGTTGGAGTGAACACCGACCCATACACCGTTCACGAAAACCTTTGTCGCATCCGGGTTCTGATTCTGGTCGTATTCCTCAAGAAGCTGCATGTTACGTTGCGTCATAAAGTCGATAATGGGGGATGCATCGCTACCGACACTGACGTAGCACATGAGAGACAAGTTCTTGACCAGTCCGCAAGCTTGTCCTTCAGGCGTCTCGGCAGGGCAGACAAGACCCCAATGAGAGTTGTGGAGTTGGCGGGGCTTGGCCAGTTTACCATCACGTCCAACGGGGGTGTTTGTTCGACGAAGATGGGATAGAGTAGAAGCGTAGGTGTATCGGTTCAACACCTGCGAGACACCAGCCTTTGCGGAGGCGGCCTTCTTCTGATCACCCCAGTTACCTGTAGCCAGAGAGTACTTCAGACCGTTTGTGATGATACTGGCTTTTACAGCCATCTGAACGTTAAAGTCCTGGTTGTTCTCGACACACCGCTGAAGGTACTTATACACGTCTTTTGTGAGCTTCAGGAAGAGGATACGGAACAAGTTGGCAATCAAAGGTCCCGCAAGATCCAGTCGCTTCTTTCCGAAGTGATCACGGTCATCCTCATCACGGCGACCCAACACACACTGCAAAAGTCTGTGGATCATGTAACCGAAGAAATAGGCCTTGCGGGTATCCTGACCTTCCTTTTGGGAGATATGCGGCAGGAACTCGCGCTGCATGATGTCCCTCGCAAACTTGAGACGCCTGTCCTTGGTACCAGAGTTTGCTCCACGTTTGGCGATGAAGTCGAGGGCAGTCTCACGGTCCTGCACAACGGAACCCTCCTCGATACTGGGCTTCAACAGCTCCAGCATTTGTGTGTCGGTACGGTCGTAAACGATGTGACTCAGAATCTCCTCATCGGAAACTATACCAAGCGCACGGAAGACAATGGCCATGGGCACATCTGCCTTGATATATGGGAGGGTGGCGTATGCGAATGGACCGGGTATACGCTTGCCCGGGCCAGCGAGCGAGTTTTCTGCCCATTTGATGTTAAAGGAAGAGATAAGACGAGTGCCCTTTTCGACAGCACTTCGAATCTCTGCTATCCAAGGAATAGGTCCCTGCTTCTTGCGGAAGACTTGTACAATGTTGGCGGCACTGCGCTCCTGGGCGATCAGCACCTTCTCACTGCCGTTGATGACGAAGTATCCACCCTGATCGTAGGGGCATTCGTTCAGCGCAAACAAATCAGCGTCTGATTGTGCTCGCAGGTGGCAAAGCTCTGACCGCAACATGACGGGCAGCTTTCCGATGAAAACCCTCGCCGCAGTACCGTCGTCCATGGGCATATCTTCACGTTCCCACCGAATTTGTGAAGCACCTCCTGTGTATCCACCCTCCATGTCTTCGTCCTCATCGCCCTCGGGGTCACGGCCTTCACGAGCGACCATGATGCGGTTTTCAATGTCAGCCAACATGGCTCCGGAGTAAGTGAGGTTTCGCAGACGCGCCTCGTGTGGGTAGAGCTGCACAGTGGTACCGTCTCCTTCAGTGTGTGTTGGTCGTGCAAGATAGACACGTCCAAACTTGATCTCATAGCGGCGCTTGATAATCGGGTTATCATCCTCGTCAGGGTTGTAGGGCGTGTTCTGTTCCAGAATGACACTTCCGTTTTCTTTTACGATATCTTGTATTGTGTTGCGCGTAAATTCGTCATAGGAATCCAGTTGTTGCGACACCAGACCCTTGGTGTCGAAGAAGGAGCTGATAACTGCCCAGCAGTCTTCGGGCAGGACGCGGTCGTCCTCCTCATCCTCGTAGTCGTCCATTCCGTCTTCGTACTCGTACGGCTCAGCCATGATTGCGGCTAGATGTGAGGCGCGGTAGAGAAAGGGTGGAGGTGAGAGTGGGTATCGAGTGAGGACGTGTAGAGTCCTTGTCTGCCCTGAATGCGACAGGCGGCGGCGAGTGCCTCTCAAAGAGAAGTTCGGGGCTAGTATTTATCCGGTCTTAGCGCGCCCGCTCCACCAAGGGTTAGTGCTTCTTGCGCCCCACACCCTGCAAGTCTCATCCATACAAGCAGCAACAGTATATTCGCAAGGCAGCCTAAATGACTGCATCTGGATACGTGACATTGCAACCATATAACAGCGAAAAACAATGTGCCATTAAAGCAGTGTGTCAAGGGGGATATCTCTCATCACAGTGATTGTTCAAGGCTTCCTTCACTGGTCTAAGAACAGGACACTTGGACACTAAATATCGGGAATATCCTTTGGACTCTTCAGATGATCTATTGTTATTTGTTTTGATTTGAAAAATGACAAAATCTATCAATATCTGATCCTCCTGCCGCCTTTCTGCTCACCCATCTGATAACTCACTGCCACCCCCTTCCGCTCTGCATACTGTATTGCATCACGACCAGTAATCCGCACGCAATTATCTGCTATGATACTCTTGAGTGAGGGTAGCTTATCCGCCAGCATCTTGATCGAAGCTCCAGTGATGTTTGTGTTCGAAAGGTCAATCGTTGTGAGACCAGTTCCATACGTGAGAAGACACTCCACGTCATCGTCGGTACATGGCATAGTGCCTAGATCCAACGACTCGAGAGCTGGCGTAAGAACTCGTGGGGAGTAACAAAGAACGGCGTTAGGCCCGTTGAATAATGTTACTTCCGGATCGAGCAGGCAGCGGAGGGAGAGGTGCTGCAGTGGTTTGCTACCCGGGAGCGACTTAAGAGCGCCGTCTTCAATGTATGAATCGAGAAGCATCTCGAATTTCTCCGGGCTCACAGAGATTCCAGATAGTGACAGATGTGTGAGGTCAGCTAATTTAGCACGCGCCCATGGATTGGTGTTAGTAATCCTTGGTAGCAAGCCCCAATAATTGTCAAGGACGAGATGTTGCAGTGTATCGGGCAATGCAAGGTACAGCTCAAATGATACGCGCTTCATGACTAGCGTTGTAATTGGCGGCATTTGAGATGCATCCTGTGGCCAGCCTCGGCCTGATAAGTGAAAACCATCCACATTGCAGAGTGAAAAGGACCGGAGCGAAGGCGTAAGTGTAAAGAGTTTGGCAATTTCGAGCCGCCATGCACTTAACCTGTCGGTACCAGTCAAACTCAGTGTGTGAAGGTGAGGAAATGGATTCGTCCATTTCATCGGGTGTTTGAGTGGTAATACACCGTGAAAAGCAACGTGTTCAAGTGTGGGTCGGGCTTGGAGAATTTGGTCTACAGCATCTGCTGTTATGTCTGGATGCACGATGAGTTTCTTCAGCTTGGAACTGCTCTTGGCAATTTCGACTAATGATGCTGACATGGCATGTGGTGAGGAGAGAATCTCCACATCTGTGAGGTTTTTGGCCATTTTTGCCAGATTCTTGATTACGTCCATGTGCTCGAAACGATGGAGAGTGACGTGCGTCATACGCATCTCTGAATATCTGAAAGCCATGCTGACGAAGGAACGAGGCACAGGCTTACGTGCGCCCTTCAGATCAAGATGTAGCCATAGCTTCGGTAGCTTTGAGAGGTAATCTCGCCAGCCTTTGCTGACCCGCATGCAGTTGACGATGTGGCGGAAAGGCAAATACTCAAGCACCATTTCGGCCAACTCCACAGGTAGAACAGAGAATGGATCAACAGCTGTTGCTGGTGAAAGTTTACGAGTGAGCTTGTCGTGCAGTTGTTGAAGAAGCTGATTAAACGTCAGCAGCAGCTCACAACCACATGGCTGAGGGAATGATAGAATAGAAAACAACTTCGACGAGGATACACACCTTGAAATTCTTATCCTTGGATTCGACGTTTTTCATTCCATACTTGTAGATCCCTAGTGCCGTCTCTTCTTTTCCCATCTTCTCTAGGACACTTGCTGTCCTGAGGTATCCCTTGACATCTGATTTTTGCATTCTAATCATTTCTCTCCCATCTTTGACCGCATCACTAAATCTTTCGAGCTTATCATAAGTGGCAGCTCGGTAGTCATACAAATTGAGAGTAGGCTTCTGGCAAGTTTCAATGCCCTTTGTGAATGTTTCCAGCGCCTTGCCGTATTGCTTGAGTTTGTAGTAATTGCGACCTAATTCTTGAAATTCTTCTGCTGACATTTGGCGAGCCATTGCAGCCCCGATAATGAGCACTGAGTGAACGTAAATATGACTAGTCCGGCGTAAAACGCAGATGAGAGTGGTGCCGATGGATGAATCGGGAAGAGGCGACGCGACGCGACACCCTTAATAGCCATGGTCCGTGCACTTCCACCAAGGTAGCAAACTCTTGGTGGACGAAAATACCCGGATAGAACTTACTCTACCGCAATGGCGCAGCATCGACCAGATTTAACTGCATACCGACATTGTAGAATCACATAATTTCCTTATAGTATATTAATATCTATATAAGATGCTAGTATATTAGTACATAAGATAATGCTTTTGAATACGCGGTACAAGGCGACTAATTGCGAACAGCAGCTTTGTCTTAATAGAGGCTGTTTTTATTACAGTTTTTTTTAGTTCACTAAGAGAAGTATTGATAATGACAGTGTTATGTGCAAAGCGTGACCAAAAGACGACTCGACTTGGCTCCCTGGATCCTGGAATCAGAAAAGACAAAGTCAAATGGAGTCTTCATATCCAAATGTTGTCGCATTCTCCCTGTCACAATACTGATGATTCTTATACATCTTCACCTTCCTCTAATCCACTGCTACGCTCAAGAAGTCAGTCCACTGGGTCTCAGTTGGCCTAGCTTCTTGTCCAACAGCACTCTTGCGGGACAAAGCCATGAAAGGATAGCACACAAAAGCATCAAAAAATTGCTACTCATCTGGAGTTCCTTCTCGGCTTAGCGATATTGAACAGATGCCGTTCAGTCGAATTTGGAATATCATGCGCGAACGTTTGTGCAATGCGTTGATACGAATAGGTATGCGAACAGATGTGTTTCGTTGACACCTCTTACCGCTGTTGAAGTCAGGACTTTAGTCCGTAGGGAAATCAAGAACAGGGATGTCGAAGACATGATAAGCGCGTTTTGATAGACGTACCAAGGTTTAGGAGCTTAAACCTTAAATCGAAAATCTGGATTGTCGGACTGACAGCGAAATCATCTGAATCATCGGTATGGTGCTTTGTTTCATCGGAGATGACAAAGGTGGTCCCTAATACTCAAGGTACTAAAGCACTTGATCTACTACCCAATCCTGGTGTTGGTGGATCAATCGATAATGGCGCGAGCTGCGGTATCAATGACTTCATCATAAATACCAGGTCGGCTGCTTTGAAAGGTTTCTGCATGACACGATCTGCCCCGGCAGCCATGGCCGTATCCATTTGTTCTTTCCGTACATTGGCCGTTACTGCAATAATGGGCAGTCTTATCGGCCGACATTCGTTGAGTTCTTTCGTTCTGAATTGGCGCATCGCTTCGAGGCCATCGAGTACTGGCATTTCCAAGTCCATCAAAACGATGTCAAACGTCTGTCGGTCCAAGCAATCGAGCGCTTCGAGACCATGGTTTGCTACGGTGACATCACAACCGGCTTTCTTGAGCTGTTTTCCGAGAACTCGCTGGTTGATGATGTTGTCCTCCACCAGCAGCACACGTAGTTGTCGAGATGCAAACTCCGTGTTTCCTACTTGATGGAACATTTCCTTGAGTGTCTTAGGTTGGGGCTCTACTCTTCGTGTCTTGACATAGAATCCGAAAGTCGAGCCCTCACCCAGGACAGAGGCAACCCCGATTTCACCTCCCTGCTTTTCGGTAAGTTCTTTGGATATAAAGAGACCTAAACCACTGCCTCCGTAATTCACGTGCGTCTTTACGTTTGCCTGTCTGAAGCGTTCAAAAATCTTGTCGATATCCTTCTCTTGCAGCCCGATACCAGAGTCTGTTACGCTAAAACCCAAGTATATCTCCTCGCCAGTACCCCAGTCTGGGTTGCTAGTGACATCAGCAGGCGTTTCGCCGTCAGTTGCCCAGAACATATCGCTGGGAAAGAGAGCGCGTGGTTTTGATCGGCTTGCAGCATAGCGAATTGAGATTGCTGGTTTTTTTGACGGTTTGACGAATTTGATAGCATTTGTAAGCAAATTAATGAAGATTTGCGTCACCCGAGATGGATCAAAACATAGATGATCAATGCCGAGTTCCGAGAGAGAAGGATCTGGTGTTATGCTGTAAGCGATGTTGTTTGTCTTGAGCTCGGCTTGGAAGATGTTGACAATGGAGTCGACGAGTTTCATAGGTTTAACAGGAACTGGGGTAATCGATAAGAGCATGGAGTCGAGTTTACTCAGTGTAAGCACGTCATCAATGATCCGCTTCTGGTGGTGCGCACATTGCATGATCGTGTTGGCACTGTGCATGTTGTCGTTGAGAATGTCTAGACAGGGTTTGGGGATATCGGTAATCTGTGCACGGCACTCTTCAAGCGCGGTTGTGATGGAATCAGCACAGTGCACAATGGCACTGAGTGGATTCCGCATTTCGTGGGAGACCACATCGATGAAGGCTTCCTGTTGTCTTTTCGCTTCTCTAGCTTCAGCAGCCTGTCGAGCCTGGAAGGACTTTGCCCAGCATAATCGGCTAATGTCGGTAGTACAAGCCATGACACTCACCACGCTGCCATGTTCGTTGCGGTATGGGAATGCGAGGACCTGAAGTTGTGCCGGTTCTGGATCGCCTGTTGGAGGCGTATACAATCGTTTTAAACGGAGGTCGACGGTGACTTGGTCGTCGCCCTTGAGCAGACGCTCCCAAATCTCTTCTGATTTTGCGCGGTCATCTTCATGATATGCGTCGAAGAAGAGGGCGAGACCATCGGAGTCATTGGTCGGCGATTGTCCAGCCAATTCATAGTAATAATCGTTTGCCCAAAGCATATATCCATCCAGGGAAACATGGCACATACCTACCGACGCGTGATCGATGAGATGGCGTAGCTTAAGATCGCTGAAAGCGAGGTCCGCTTCAAGCTGGACCTGGTGCTTCTTGTTGGACTCATAATCTACTGCAGCAGTCATGAGACTCGACACCATGCGGTTGAGGTCTCGAATGAACTGCTCGCACATTTCGTCATGTGGACGGTAAGGATTCGTGCCGAAGATGAGATAGCCAAAGAGACGCCCACCGCACATGATAGGCATGACGACAATCTTCTCAGACGGCGCACCCCAACCTTTCCAGTCGACAGATGAGAAGCGGTCGTCGTAATTGATTATGGTCTGGTCTGTGCCAGCTCGTCGCATGTCCGGTATGAGTCCTTCTTCACTATCGATCGTAGCCGTGTTCACAAGAAGAGGATGGCCCTCGGGAAGGCCTATATGGCCATGCAGCCTCAGTGAATTGGAGCCTGCCGTTTCATCTATCCTATACAACATAGCCATGGGCACATCGTGCGTATTCGTCTCCAGCGTGTTGAGGATGTGCGAGCAGATATTGTCGATAGACCGTGGAGGCACGGAGGCGAGCTTGTTCAAGCATTTTGTGCGGCGCTCGGTGAGTTTCTCCGTGGTTACTTCGTAACTGGGGAGCACATCAGCTCTGCATCCAAAATGCTACCTGCGCTTCAACAGTACTACTGTCATGATGGGCGCACATCTGGCGCGACCAAAAAAAACTCACACATGATTGATGTAGCCTTCTACTATGCCAGGCATGCCTACGGGTGTAAAGCCACCGGAAAAGAAGGCTTCTTCGCGGTAGCCTTTGCGCTCGACAAAGGTCGAAAGAGCCGAACTATAGTCGACGCCAATGCCGGTGCTCTTTGCCTGTTCAAAATAGGCGCTGACGGAGGGCCACAGCTCTGGATAGCCATGCTGAAAGAGGGATCCCATGAGGCCAGGGTGGACGCCGGCGGCAAGAGGGGCATATTTGTCATTGTAGATGGCGGTCATGTGGGAAATGTCTCCCCACCAGAGACATGCGGCGCGCGAGTCTGTGAGGACATAACTGGCAAAGAGTCGCAGCGTCGGACTCCAGGTGTCAAGGGGGCCAAGGCGAGTGCGCGACCAGTCGGTGTTGCGGAAGAAGCGAATGTGAGGAGTTTGTGGCAGGGCGGCGGTCCAGTCGCATTGTTCGTCGGTCGGGGTCGCAGTCAGGGTCGCAGTCAGGGTCGCATTGTCAGGAGAGTCGAAGCCTCCGTCTTCCGGGGGTGGGGTCAGCATCTGCACAAGACAGGAGCACATGCGAAGATGGCAAGGCACTCAAGGGGCTGCAGCATCCTCATAGGAAGCAGAGGGCTGAGGAAGACAAGTCTGGGACCCGTTGATCGTGCAACCATATGATGGACTAGTCCTAACACCCGCCGGTGTTTCTCTCGGGCACCAGTAGCAGTCAGTTCCATGCATGCATGCCGACTGCCAGGTGGGGACGGGGCGCAATCGAAGATGGTTTTGCAGCACACCCACGCCTGCCAAGCCCCTTCCGATCGGCCACGTTCCGAGCCCCGACTTTCCGATGCACATTGAGATGCAACCTTGCCGCACACCCGTACCTGGGCCTGCAGTACCAGTGTGAGTGTACCATGTACCTGTACTTGCACACGTACCATATATTTGCGTGCATCTATGTACATGTACATGTACATGCACATACACGCATGCTGACGTGTGTGCTACAACCAAACACCCGCATGACGCTGTCCACCACAACACGAGTCCCCTCACAAATCCATCGTCCCGGTCATGCTCACACGCAAGCACCCAGAAGCCCGAGTCGCATATTGCACATTTCCTGCATGCGCGTGGGCGTCTCCCTGCTACACCGGCCCTCCATGGCCGCAGGCGGTTGGTCGCCTGCCCTTCATCGACCGATCCTCGCCAGGCTGAGCGTACGAGACAGGGGCACCGTCGTCGCTCGACCATGTCTTTGGGCGGCCTTCGCCTTTTCTTCCAGCCTCACCCGACCCAATGACCTGATTGATCGTCCTCGGCATCTCGCGTGTGAACTGTACCCTGACACGGCCCCGCTGACACCACACAATCGTACCACATCTGCTGCTCGTGCATATTCGCTGTCACTCATTCATCCATCCACTGCCCAACTATGTCAACTCAGACGTCATCTTCAACACCAGGCAAATACTCCTAGCCAAGCCTTGGTGGGCATATTTCCTTTTTACTCCTCGCTCTAGCCTTTTCGCTGATCGTCAGAAACTGCCCTCCGATCTCGAATCGTGAGACCACTAGGATATAGATCTGCAAAGCTTTGGTTCGAGTCCTGCCCGCTGCCCGCCACAGCTCGAAAACAATAAGGCCGCCCATCGCGATACACAAGACGATACTTGGTCTCGTCAACCTTGCACCGCTGCACAGTGCGCATCGACCCATCCTCCTCAATGACAAGTGTAGAGTGCCACGGTGTTGCCCCGAGTGCACCTTTTTCTTGTTGCGGAATGACAGCCATGGACAGCTTATCCTTTCCACCAGAATCGTGAATAGACAGACGCACATACTGCGTAGGTACAGCAGCCATTGCAGCTGAGAAGGCCTTCCACCGACCCATCATTTCTTTTGCCGTGTTTGCAATGTTCGCAGCCTGATCCTTTGGGGAAAGAGCAACATGTCTTTCGTTCAACGCCAGGTCCTGCTTCAGAAATTCGAGATACTTGGTATGCGTCATTTGCATGTCGCTAGTGCTAGTATTCGCCATATCAGCCTCGAACTTGGGGTCTCCATACTGTCGCTTGAGTTCTTTGCGGATGTTGGATGCATTCTCGAGATAGTATTCTTTGGATTGGAAGTCTCCTGAATACTTGAGTATGTCCCACAGTCGTAAGAAGCTGATGTTGTTGAGGTTGTTCTCGGCCGCCATTTGCCGAACACTTTGTCCAAAATTCCATACCGTCTCGTCACTCACGCCGAGAAGGTCTATTGTCATTAGTGAAGGACATAAATATGTGGGGGGGCGGGGGGGGGGGAACGTGGGGTAACATACCGTTATATACAAGACCATCGGAGGTGATATGACATTCTGCGCCAAACTCATAGACTGCCTTGATCTTCTCGCAGAGCCCATCCAGATGCTTCAGCGCGAGCTCCTCGCCCAGATCAGGCAAAACACCCAACACCTTATCCTTTGTGTTTGGAGACTTGAACGGAAAACCAGGAAGTAGCATAAGCACGGGCTCTTTGCGCTCAACCTGTCCTTTGACGATCGGCAAGAACGTCTCAAACCCATCCCACTTGCCAGTCCGCTCGTAGTTCAAACCATATTGTTCGATAATCTTGAGTATCTCCTCAGCTTTCGCATCGACGCTAGTTTGCGTAACCGTAGAAGACATGGTCCGTGTTAACTCCTTGAAGAAGCTGATATGCAGCTGAACCGTGGGTGAAACAAGTACTTATGTTACCCTGAAATTCAGCTTCTCTTTGGGGGCTGTACTCCCAAGAAGAGGCGCTGCTGAGGCACAGCTGTAAGCACGCACGAACTTGTGGCCGGCTTGCAGACCGCATCGTACAATCCTTGCACTTCCAACAACACTATCCCATTTCTTCAAAAACCCATCCTTTAAACCCCATTGTGGACATACCACCACATATTGGTGTCTTTGCTCAATGGATTCTAGAGCACATGTAGACGATGCGTCTCGTTCGAAAAAGCAAATTCACCCCAGCGCAACACAAACAAGTACCCCGCTGTGGCTGACCTTAGGTATCAAGCCATCCCCCCCTCGGAGGCATTCAAATACCCACACAGCCATCAACCAATTGCTGGGATGCAGGGCAAGTCTATTTTTGAGGCTTGCTCAGCCTCGTGGATACTGTATGGTTGACCCTTCAGCCGCAGTGGGTCCTTGATCCCAATGTCGTTAGCAGACAAGTCTAGACAATGTTCCGCATCCATGGTAGCCAAACACTTACTTGATCGTGATTCTGTGCCCAATTGCCATTTGGACACTTGAATTGCGACTGGGAAACTTGATGCTGGCGGCTTGCAGCACCGCGTTTGCGAATTGAGAACTGATTGCGAGATACTCTTTGTTATGATGTCTTGCCCAAACGGGTATAGTCTCTTGGCACTCATATAGTATTTGTACCTGCTTTCAGACTCCAATATGAATTTCAACCTTATATAACACACCTGTTCTGACCACTGACTGAGCCACTCGGATACAACTCTTCGATTTCTTCAAGCTTCTATATAGAGGGATATATCAAGACGAAATATGCTGACGTACCTATCGCGCACCTTATTAACATATTATTTTACTACCAAATAACGACCTACCCATCATTGATCATTTTGGTCGTAGTTCCCTATTCGATTCGAGCGCCTGAATATCGATGTGTCTTCCCGGTTCTCTCCTTCTCGTTTGAATCACCCCTCCTCTTCTCTCTCCCATTGCCTCCGAGATCAAGACAGAATTTCACCCAAGACTCCAGAAGACTGTTGGTGCTACCTGGGCTCTGCCAGAGATATTCGAAGTCAGCGAAATCTTCCAAAAATTCTATGCCAATAGTATGGTGTACATCACACAAGTGCATTGGAAGCGTGGAGACTTCCTGTTGCTTCTCGTTACTAGTTCTTGGGACGAAGCAGAATCTACACATTCTCGCTCCGATCCCTTTCACATATAACAATGTCACCAGTTCCTACAGGCCTTTCTCACCAAAATAGCAGCAGAGTGTTTTATTCGCTATCATAACTATCACTTACCTTACCTGCAAGAAATGGAGACGCGACTGGGCCAAGTCTTCAGACCTGTTTGTTTAGAAAACACCGCGATTTGTAGATCCCACTACGAGATCCCTTACTTACCCAACCTTGCCCTCTCTTTCTCATTCTTTCTCTGCCACTTCCTTTCTTTCGCCCTTTCCTCTTCCATTTTCTTCATCCGCGCGTACACAAAAACACTCTCATCTACCTTCCCACACTCCTCAAGCTGCTTCTCGACTTCTTCCTGCTCAGCCTTGGACGCCTCTACAATGGCTTTCATCTTCGACTCGGAACACTGGTTTGATTCCCCACTGCCTGGTCTGTTTAGTTCCCATCCGTATACAGGATACCCTTTTCGTATCTTGTCAAACACCTTCCGCATCTCATCGTCTCTGTGTTTCTTGCAGCCGGTCGACATGACCATTTGCTGCAGCCCGCAGCGGTACCACCCGTCAGACTCGCTATATTCCCAGCAGGGACAGTAGCTCTGGTGCATGAGGTCGTTGTAACATTCGGCGGTTCGTGCGTGGTTCACGCCTTGGCTGCAGTGGTGGCGGACTGTGGTTGAAGTGCCTGTGCGGACGTTTGTTACGGCCGGCGTCCAGTTTAGCGCGTGGATGTTGGGGCCGTGGACGAGACGGTTGAGGTCTTTTATGCTGTAGCTACTTAGGAGCTCATTGGCCTCAAAGATGTGGTACGTGTGCTTACCAGTTTGGTCTAGCATTTGAGAAACACCATTCCCCAGTTCTGAGGTCTGTTGTCCCCCCATTATGTGTTTGCCTTGCTTTTGTTGGAGTTTGGTTGAGTGGAAAGTGGCGAAACTGATTTCAAGTTCTAAAATTGAGAAACGGTGTATAAAAATGTGTGTGAGGATCTTGCTCTGCTGATTTAGTCATAAGTGATATTGAGAAATGTGAATTTTGCTGTCCAAGTGGAATTTTATATAAATATTGGAAGTCCTTTCTTCACAATGTTATCTGTGTGATAAATCACAGGCGATATCTCCAGCTTTTGCCTGACCTATTGGGCGAGAATGTTCGGTTGAGATGAAAGTCATGCTGGAAGTATTTTCGGGCAAGTCAGGTAACTTTCATTAATGCGCCATGTTTAGTTTATGTACAGTGTTATATAAATATGAGATATGGTCGCCTTGTTGATATTAAGAATCTATGAAAACTTGGTGTCCTCTGTGTAACCAATCATGCGGTTAGTTATCATGACAATGTGTTACTGTGTAATCATACTCGGAGGTAAAGCTATGTCCTCAGATAATGCTTAATATTATTGTTTACATGCTAGCGATATATCACGTCACGGAATTTGTATTGTATGAATTACAATCCTGGATCAGAATTCCGTAAGCGGTAGACGACCTCTATGCTTCGTAGCTTGTGTCACCGTTCGCTTACGATGCAACTACAATCCACCCAGAGTCTCGCATCGCCAAAGTTGTATTTGGAAAGCGAACAGCCAAGCAACGATATTACAATCACATTGAGACTAGATATTTGAAATTACCAAGAAGCATTACCACCAACTCAAAACTAACATGCCTACAACGCCAAAATATCATATACCAGCAAGACAAACCCCCCTACATCCATCTCCTCCACCTCCGCCGCTACCACCACGACCTTACCCTCCTCCCAGCCCTGACAACCAAACAACCAACCTTTCAAGCCTCACACTCTGCACATCCATCTTCCCCACCTCAGCCATCGCAACCATCCACTTCCGTCCATCCCTCCCCAACTGCACCGCAAGCTTCCTCTCTCTCTCCTCCCTCTTCAACTCCCTGCCCACATACATTTCCACCGCCCACGGCTTCGCATGATAGAAACTCGTATTCGCCTTTCTTGACCCCTCGGCCGACGCCCACGCTCCCGGCTCGTAGGTTGGGTGCCGCCGGAAGTATGCGTATTTGTGGCGCTTGTGCTCGGCGGTCGCGTGGATGGAGTGCGGGGCGGTGGTGCAGGTGCGTGAGAGGGACTTGAAGGGGGAGGGGTTGGCAGTGGAGAGGTGCTCGGAGGAGATGGTTACGGAAGGGGAGATACGGACTTGTTTGTGGTTAGGGGTGGGGTCAGAGGGCTTCGGGGTGATGAGGGTGCGGAAGGTTTGGAAGATGGATTTGGGGGTGGCTGGATACGTGTAGGTGGTGGTGGTGGTTGTGAGGGAGGTTGACGGGAGGGTGGTTTCCATCTTTTGTTTGTGCGAGGATTGCTGGGGAGATTGAATCAAGACTGGGGAGAACGGAGCGAGTGTTTGCTGCCAGTTGTCCTGGAAATCGATTTGTGGGGGAGCTGTTGATGGGCTTGGGATAAGGGAGGAGACGCAAAATGACCTGGGCTCTATGAGTTGCCATCCAGGCAGGTCTTTGTCAGGTGGCCGAGCTGGTATCGACCTGACTTTGTCTCTCATAGCGCTCAGTATCATCTCCCTCTTCATTGTATTTCGCACCCAGTTCATGAACACCCTTGCACGTTCCCTATCCTCTTCTGTTGGTACAGGTGTTTCTGGCCCTCTAACATATCTCAAGCCTGGCACTCTACTCAGAAACATCTTCTGGTCGTCCCATGCCCCCAGTGCTTCACTCAGCCTTGCTATGTCTTCAATTGGCAGGCCAGGCTCTTTGAGCAAGTCTTCAAACTTCATGATGGTATTTGCCAGTGCGATTTTTGTCTTTCTCCAGTACCTTGTAGCGACGACATGCTTTTTAACGTCACCTGAACTGGACATGAAGACGCCTCCACGCGTCAAGAAGTGATTCTGGGCCGCTCGAACTGCAGCCATTTGAGAGCTGATGACGCATACTGGGCAGGCATTCTGAGAGAGTGGAAGCTTGACCACAAGAGAAGGCGAGACAGCATGTGTGCAGTCGCCGATCATAGGCGCGGAGCTGGTGATTTCGGTCATTTTGCGAGAAAGCGGAACAGTGTTCGTGAGTGATGGACGAAGAAAAGGTACAGTGTTGAAAAGATCATTGTGGCAGTTCAAGAGTGAGCGAGCTGGCGTGCACTTATAATGTAAATTCTCTGGTTCGTGCTGTGAAAAGATGCATATACGTGACGTATTGAAGACATGAGCAGGAACCACGTTTCTGTGAGCCTCATGTGGGCCGAACGTTGCTATTGAAGCGGTGGGCCAAAAACATTGTGTCGTAACTGCAGCACGAAAAGACCTCGTTGCAACCGGCATTTCAAACATGCCGTGTCATATACACGCTGTGAAGACTGCAGAAGAGCTGCTATTACAACAGCTTCTTGCGAATGACCTGCTGAAAGGTGTAATTGTAATACATGATGCTGCCTCGTGGCCGCACTAGACATCTACCATACCCTCACACTTTCGATGCACCAATAAAACTGCTGCCCGCTGTATACCATCACAACATCTATTACAGCAGCAAATGAGTCTCTTTTCTTGTCATTTGGTGGTTGGGATGACTGAATAAAGGTATTTTCACATGTTTCTAAGCCGACATGTAGGATTTACGGTTGAGGTAACATGGGTCAAGCTGCTCGCCTTCTTGACACGATAGTGCTGTGATTAGTTCGCGCCTCCAAATACAATGCCTGAAATTGGGTTTTCACATCTCTCGGTTGGCGTACCCAGCGAGCTTACCTCGTCATTGGGTTACCCAATCATCGATGGCAAACCCACCAACCAAAGGGAGGAAAATTCACATCAACTCGCATTTAAGCCTCATCACTATATGGAGCTGCTGAGTAGTGAAATATGATCCTGGCTGTGGGCTTTTGGCATCGGCTCTTGCTTCAATACGTTGCATACCCTGTTGATACGGTCTAGTATGGAGTGGCTTTGTGTATTGAGAAGGCGGTAACAAAGCGAAAACAGCCATTCATCTGACGGCCAAATTTCGCGAATGTGTAGGCGCGGAGAAGGTGTGGACTTGGAGCGAAGCTTAACGTTGATAAGGAGCGGAAAACACGGGAAGGATGTCAACGCGTGTGCGTCATCCCGGAACGCGGAACCACGTGCAACATTGCCAAGTTCACAGCGCCACCCCTATCTGCTTTGCCGGAACTCTTTACGATCACTTGAGCTACAAACCAACCCATATCTATAGCTGTGCAAGCTCGATGCCGCAAACACGCTCAGGAAAATTGAGAAATCAGAATGACAAAGTGCCACAACATGTCCTAAGCGACGGCGACAGCCCTGAACCCGACGATGCGCCAGCAGCACCTCCGTCAGCATCATTTAAAGACCGACTGAGCAGCTATGCGTATGAGGAACAAGATGCGACATCGACCGAGATCTCGGTATCGACCAATTTCGACCGACCGACCAAGCGCCCTAGAACGGCCACCATAGCATCCGTCGGAAGTACCCAGGGATCTACCCGACAGCTGACAAAGAAGCGCAAGGCTGGCCAATATGCCCTCCCATCAAAATATGCCCATTTGTCTCCGCTCGTTGACATATTGGAACCAAACCTAATCTGCGTGTTTGTCGGTACAAATCCAGGTGTTCAAACTGCGACTGCTGGGCATGCGTACGCGCACCCGTCAAACCACTTTTGGAAGCTACTCCACGCGTCAGGTCTGACAAATCGCCGCTTGAAGCCTGAAGAGGACCGCAGTCTTCCAGCCCTGTTCTGCATGGGCAATACAAACATTGTAGACCGCCCGTCCAAAAATGCAGCCGAGCTCTCCAAGGAAGAAATGTCAGCGGGTACTGCCAACCTCGATGCAAAATTCCTAAAATACAAGCCAGAAGCCGTTTGCATAGTTGGCAAGGGCATCTGGGAGGCAATATGGCGTTATCGCTATGGCAAGAATCCTGGCAAGAATGAGTTCAAATATGGGTGGCAAGACGAGAAAAACAACATGGGCAAGTGTCCAGAAGACGTGGAACAAGAGTTGGATGCCAGCGGCAATCCCTGGAAAGGGGCCAGAGTGTTCGTAACTACGAGCACGAGCGGCCTCGCTGCGAGCTTGACACCCGCAGAGAAGGAGGCGATCTGGAGACCATTTGGAGAGTGGGTGCAGAAGAGAAGAGAGGAGCGTGGCTTCGTGCCCCGGCTAGTGGAGGCCCAATCTGCCATTGAAGAAACAGCGCAACTTTAACCATCTTTGAACAAGGTCTTTGCTGGAAGGCGTCAGCCGAGACAGAACTCAATCAGCTGTCAAGACAATGCCGCCGAATGCATGTACCCGCGGGAGAGTTTCAAACTCATATGCTTCGCCCGAATCGCCCTTTTAATCGAGGGATGTAACTGCTATACGCTTTACGCCTTGTTGCATGCCTTCTGAATCATCGGCACCAGTGGTCTGCGCCACACGCAAATGATTCGCACAGATCCGTGAACAGCTGGCCTCCATCAACATTCTCACTTGCGTCTCGTGGCTCCAACTTGGATCAACTTTTCCGGTTCTTGGCATAATCTTGGCGAATGAAAGTTCACGGCTTGGCGTTGAACTTGACCGAGCCACATGCATTGACGCCGCAGTTGCACCGCCATAGAATCGGATCCCAACCATGCTGCGCCTCCTGGGTGTGGCTCAACAACGTGACGAAGAGAAGCACATACCCAGTGGTAGAAGGACACGATAAAGGTGCTTTTTCAGTCAACGAGCCTTTCGTGGCTGAAGATGCCAAGTGAATAGGACTTACGAGGACTGAGCCACGGCACAGCAATTAGCTTCGTGTGATATCGCTAGCTGCAGGTGTAGCGCCACAGCTAAACTAAAGTGGGCACTAGACTACGGAAAGAACGGCAAGCATGCATGTGCGAGCGACACTTCATGCAACACAGGTTTCCAAGCAAGCAATCTTACTGTCAAGCTACCCACAAAACCGCGATGTACTGGTTGAGCGAGAAGAAGGAATTGATCAATGCTGTACTCTAGTAAAGTAAGATGGGAAATTTGACTGGCAACGCAATGTCCGACGATGCAACACTGGCTCCTTCTCACCATCTGTGTACTATACTATGGCGTAAGCACATACGCGAGTTCGTGCGCCTCCTCTCCCAAGACAATTGCATACGCGTAAAGACAAGGATTCTTGCATCTACCGTTCCACTCCAATGTCTCATGGGGCCTGAGCAGCTGCCACACGCAGGCGCCCAAAGAGCCACACGCATGTGGCGCCGAGCAAACCACTCATCCGCCTTTTTTTCGGCCCTGCAAATGCCTGTGGTTAAGCTGTGCGCTGTGCTACTAGTGGGTATGTGCGCGCGCGTCAAAAAAGACCGGCAGCCCTAATTGCCCTTTTCGCGCAGCATCCGTCCTATCCGTTTACCGAGCATGTTGCGAAGGGCGGCAGTGCCGAAACAGCCAGTTAGAGTGGCTGCTGTGCCAGATGTCAAGGAATACGGGGGAAGCCGCTTATCCTTGGCCCCTTACTTATACCTACTTATCTAAAGCGCTTGTGGTGCTGTGCCACAAATAACCTTGGAGACCCTTCTCTCTTCCTCTACCTCTTTTTTGTGTCGAGCCACAGCCCATCTCTGCCACAACTACACCAGCCACGGAACCCAGCCTCTTGCGACTTGCTTAATTCAACGTCACTACATAACCGCACACATCGCAACGTTAAATCGCTCCGCGACAACAAATCAAAATGAGTTATCCTCAGCAACAACAGATGAACTATGGCCCTCCCCAGCCTGGATACGGTCCTCCTCCTCAGCAACCCGTACGTTTCCCATTCTTTTTTCACGAAAACAACAGCAACAATTCAAAGCACGATTCTCGCGCTTCTGTGTAAATCGCAAAGAAATATTATGAAACAAAATGGCTAACCATAGTCGCATACAGATGTACTACCAACAAGCGCCACCACCACCTCCACCAGAGGAAAAGAAGGATAGGGGTTGTCTGACTGCTTGGTAAGTTGCTCTTTTGCCCATTTCTTCCCTTGAAACAAAAAAACCTCCCCCCCCCGCCGAACAACCCCAAAACAAAACAACAACGAATAATTCAAACTAACAAATAAATGTAGTTTGGCCACACTCTGCTGCTGCTGGCTCTGTGGTGAAACCTGCGAATGCTGTCTCGACTGCCTCGACTGCTGCGACTGCTGCTAGTCCCTTTCTCTCTCCATTAATCCATTGGTCCTGAGGTGCGGCCACCCCGTCCGCGCGAGGGTTCCCTGCACTTCTCCACTTGCTTTTAATCGAATGCGAATGCGATATGATGGGGTTTGATATATACTGGGATGAAAGGGAAGGGGAAGGGGAAGGAAGGGGGCCGCGTGTGCGCGCAACATAGGGATTTGTATGAGATATATGAAGGGAGCTGGAGGGAAAGAGAAGAGTGAATAGGGGTGGATTGGAGTTTTTCTCTTTCAGCAGGCAGTGTTTTGCTGTCGTTGCTTCGTACTTTCAACGCGTGTTGTTGTTATTTCCCATGCGAATAGAATGGCAATGAAATTTGGATAATGGAATCTAATTTCCTTTGGTTTTTTTCTTGAATTCATTTTAGTGAATGACAGGATGAAGTAATTCCATTTGATTGATTTACAAACTCGCTCAGTGTTTGTACGCAAGTCTTACAGTCAATGAGAAAAGAGATTCGATTGAAAGAAGAGGAAAGAAAAATCACAGCGCTTAATCATCGTAGGCTTCCTCGAGCTCCTCTTGGTACTCTTCTTGAGCCTCAATGAGCTCCTGGCGCTTCTCCTCCAGAGACTCGCGGTCGCTACTTGAGATTGAGGAGCCATCCGCGTCGTGCGTAGGAACTGGTGGAGGCTCTTGAAAGGCTGCGGCGTTTTCATAGGGATCTGATGGAGGAGGCGCACCATATGGAGCACCGCCGTAAGGCGCTGCGGCCGGGGGGGCAGCGGCTGCAGCAGCCTTGGCTTCATCATCGCTATCATCAGCTGGTGGTTGTTAGTTGTGCGAAAAACATTGGGAAAAGAGGGAGAGAGGAGAAACATACCAAGTTGGTGGCCAATAAAGGCACCAGCGGCGATACCTCCAATACCGGCTGCGGCCAGCATAGCAGTCGAGTGACCCTTCTTTTCCTCCTTCTGGTTGGTAGCTTGGCCAGAAGGAGTGTAGTCGTGTCCCTGGTGGCCATGAGTGTTTCCGAACAAGCCACGCTCATCATGACCAGCTGCGGGCACGTAGGGTGCGCCGGCAGCTGGGGGAGCGTATGGGCCTGGCGGTAGATGGGCAGGTGGGTCCCATTGTGTACGTCCAGTGGCTTGCTCAATGTAAAACCAGCGTTGGCTGTTCTGGTCCCATTGCTGGGTCCAGCCAGGCGGCATTGGAGGAGGTGCGCCGTAGGGCGCTGGTGGGCCTACTGGTGGGGGTGGACCCTGACCGTACGGCTGTTGCTGAGGGTAGCCCTGGGGTGGGTAGCCCTGAGGCGGGTATCCCTGACCCTGAGGAGGGTAGCCTTGGCCCTGAGGAGGAGGATAACCTTGGCTCTGGGGAGGATAGCCCTGACCTTGTGGGGGAGGATAGCCTTGACCTTGGGGCGGACCACTGTTCCCATAGTATGAATCGGACAGTGAGCGGTCGCCAGGACCAGCACCACCGGGGGCGCCGGCGTGCGAGTCATGAGGAGGGGCACTCTGGGAGTCTTTATAACGTTAGGATTTGGATTGCGACTGTGTGTATGAAAGCATGTTTACCTGTTGGCTTCTTGTCGTCGTCGTCCAACAGCTCCTTCATCTTCTTCTTGAGGAAATCCATGGTGAACAGGTGTTAGGCAACAACAAATAGACGAGCAGTTGCAAGGCGAGAAAGGGGCGAAGAGGAAGTTTGAAGTTTGTCGTGTGAGCGGGGACAGAAGAAGGCTTTTAAAGCAAAAGAAAGTGGGCATTGCTGGATATCAGCGGGGCGTCTGATGGCAGCCTCTGGGCACGCATAGCTCCACGGGGCATGGGGGCATGGGGGCATGGGAGCAGATTGCTCAGGGCGTACACGGTTGGCGACATGTGCATGCACCAGAGGGACATACTGCACCAAGCAGAGGGGCAGAGGACAGCCGACGACTCCATTGGCAAGCGGGTTGAAAAGTGGGGGGACGAAGCGGCTTGCTACTTGCGGAGGCTAGCCTGATCCCGTCTGCTGTGAGGAGTGGATTAGTGAGACTTGGCGATGTGTATGTGAAAGTATTTTCGGTATTGGGTTTCTGCGGCGATTGCTCAAGTATGCCCGAGAGTAGACTACACCAATAGCATGGATGCGTATCTACCGGCCTGGATAGGCCTGGATAGAGTTGTGTCACCGCGTCTATGTTTGGATGGTGGCCAATGGCCGTTGGCAGTTCCATGGGCTGGCGGGCGTTTGGTAACAGCAAGTGCGGGATTAATGACATGGTGTAAGTAGAGGGAGTCGGGCGACATGGGTTGGTGTATGGAAAGGCTTGGTGTGGCAGATGGAGTGAGGCTTAGCGACGCATGCGCCATTGATTTAATCTGTACCCTACCCAGCCACGGCTGCCACAGCTGGCCAGTGGCGAGGCAGGTGCACCCGGCCGGAAGTCACGATGGACGCGAAGGGCGTTGGGGGCTGACTAATGGGCGCCTACACAGTAGACAGTAGATAGTAGGCAGTAGGCAGTACCGAGTACGCCTACTAGCCACAAGCCCAAGCCGTTGCAGCAGATTCCAGTGCTGTGGGCGTGCTAAGTAGTAGAGTAGAGTGTGTCGCATCATAGTGCGGCGGTGGCCAGTTGACAGCGCCTGCGTGACGCAGTCAAGGGACATGAATAGCTATGCTTACATAGTAAGTAGATGCATACTGTGGCCTTTGTGGCCTTTGTGGCCTGGATACGGTCCTTGGTGCCTGGGCAGTGTCAGTCGTGTGTTGGCTCGTGGTATTCTTGTGTGGGCGTATGGACGAAATCGGGACGACAAGCGCCCCGCCGCACGAGACCCTGGCTGCTGGAGTGCTGCGTGCGGGACGGTGCGGTGTCGCACGTGGGAAATGGTGGCCATCAGTGCTGCTTCGGGAGCATGGGAATTGTCGTGATTAATATGCAAGACCAGAATCACATGTGCTCAGGGCCCGGTGTCTAGCTGCAGGCTGCCACGCTGCTCACAGCAACAATGGTAGATAAAGGAACGCTATCTGCTATGGCATGCAGACTGACAGTAAGTACGCATCTGGCACTGGCGTGGCAGCGCCGCGGGCGGGCGGGCGGTCTAGACCGCGGGCCAATGATGTCATGACCTCGCGACGTGCCAACACTGAAACCCCGGCTTCAAGGCCGATCCCCTAATCATGGGCTTCTGTCAGCCAAATTGAACAAGTAGGGCATTCTGAAATCCCATGTAGCCCGTCATCGCAGAGCCGCGATTGTGGTTGCGGCCACGGACATGCTTGGATGGCAGATAGAAACGTTGCGCCAAGCGTGCGCCTCACAGAAGCCATCGTCGATGCGAATGCGATTCCCGGCCTGGCTAAGAAGCAAGTAGACAGGCAAGCGAGATCTGCGGGCCATGGTGGACTGGACTCTTTTTGCCTGGACGCCAGCTGAGGCACAGTCGATACTTACACTGACATTGTCTGCGTCGTCTCGTCTCGTCTCGTGTCCCAAAGACACCACTTCTGCTGCATCGCCGTCTAAAAAAAGCGCCCTAGAAACCATATTTGCGCCTCTGCATCTCGCCGTCGTCGCACATCTTTCTCGGCGGGGCTGGTAAGTACGTATAGCGCAATACGCACGCTAGCGACGTCAATCCCCTGGCCTCCATGCAATCGACCTGAATGCCATCGCGGGCCAAACACGACGACGACGACAGCCGTCCTCGACATCCACTTTTGTAGTGAGACGGACCATCCAGGGCGCACCGACGGTCCTTCGCCTGCCCTGCCCTGCCGCATCCCAGCACCACTACGTATGAGGGAGCCGCGCTCAATCTTCACAGGTACAGGGAATGACTCGACGACGGCTCTTGACCGCACGCCCGATCAGCGCCAATTAGACACTTGCCAACAACACCATTTCATCGCAAAAACACCAGACCCGCCGCCTGTCCCTCTCAACTTCCCCTTTGAATTGCCTGATCCCCACGACCCATGGGCCCGCCTGTCGACAACCCCTAGCAACAACCACCACCTACACCAGCGGTCGGGCTCTGCGCCGCTGCAGCGCCGCCCACCACACAGCGGCACGCAGCCAACGCTCGCTCCGCCTGCCATTGCCGGCATCAAACGCTCTACCCCGTCCCTCGGCGACTACCCTCTGGCCTCAATCTCTTCGCGACTGGCCCCGCCCGCCATCGAGCCCTTGCACAAGCGCCGCAGAGCCCTCCCTTCTCTACGCTATTCGCTCGACCGCTTCACTCTTTCCAAGGCTGCCCAGACTCGCCTCCCCACCGAGCCTCTGTCGCCGCTCTTCTTCTCCTCGCGAACCATCAGACTCAACCTGCCCCCGCGCTTTTCCAGCTCAGAGGCGGCAGCAAGCATGCTTAGCAAAACTCACGAAGAGAGTAGCATCAAGACCGTCACCCTTGCAAGAGGCACCTATAGTGGCTTGAGCCCGCCAGGGCCTCCACCCGGCGCAAGTGGAAGATCGTCGGAGCGCTCCAGTCTACCGCGCACAGCATCCCCAGACTCGCGAGAAAAGAGCGACCCATTGCGGGTCCTGGCATCCATTGGCATTGTCGAGCTGCTCGAACAAGATGGTCGACCAACCTTTATCATCGACATTGGCGAATCTACTATAACTCGAACCCCACAATCGACCACTTTGCAGATACTCTTTGCCAACAATGCCCTTCGATCAAACTCTTCAGCCTGGGAGCTGGTGGCTGGCAAATCGCCTGCATCCACGCCTCAAGACTCGGTTGTAAACGCGACGCATCAATTCCGTGCCTGGTTACTGAATCCAGCACGCCAGGGACAGGACAGCGATGCTAGTTCTCTTCCAGTGGATTACGGCGGAATTTTGTGGTCGTGTTTTACCCTACGAAAACGACTGCGCGTTGTCTCGGGCCATGTACCGGCCCCTGCAACAAGCCTCCCCTCCACGGATGTGCTCAATGAAGCTGCCATACCTATGCTATCAGCAGTAGCGCATACATCAGGCAACGGCGCTGCTTTCACATCACCTCCACCCCGCATCGATGAAGCGCAAGATTACTTTGGCAGTACAGGGCCTGCCATTTCTCAAAAAGCATCGAGACCTTCCGTTGCAGCACCACAACCTGATCCAACCTACTCCAAACTTGGTGACAAAACTATGGTGCCGGACCTTCCGTCCAGAATAAACATAACATCGATTGAAGAATCTGCGCCATTTGTTAACCAGTGTGTATTGCGAGCTCATGTTGCAGGCGACGTTGACCCGTTCTATAGAGAAGATGATGACGTGGGCGAGGAAGTTCGCGACATGGGCTTCTTCGATTGGACCAGGCTAGCCCCATCTCCTACTCTACCCAAACACATCCAATTTGCTCGCTCAATAGACTGGGCCTCAACACCCTTGGGCCCCATTGAGTACTGGTCTAACGATCTGCGTGCCATGTGCAACCTTATCATGTGAGCGCCGCTTTTTTTTTTTTAATTCTTTGTTTGGTATGAACCCATGCAGCTCAATACTGACTATTGCCAGGGCAAGCCCACATCCCGCAGCCATGTACTGGGGTGAAGAGCTTGTAGCCATTTACAACGAGGCCTACATCGGTATGTTGAAACTTGACAAAACTGCTCCTTTCTCTAACCACCAAAACTAGGCCTGGCAGGTCAGAAACACCCAGCACTCATGGGCCAGAGCTACAGAGTTGCCTGGGCAGAGATTTGGCACGAGGTCAAGGACGTTTTTGCAAATGCACGCCTCACTGGTCAGGCAACTATGAAGGATGACGATTGCCTGTTCATATGGCGGAACGGTTTCGTCGAGGAGGCATATTTTTCCTGGTCCATCATTCCCATGGTCGGTGAGGATGGAACAGTAATGGGTCTCTACAACCCGGCCTTTGAAAAGACAAGACGGAAAGTTGCCGAAAGGCGTATGCTCACGCTCCGCGAAGTCGGCGAACGGACTGCAACCGCTAGGGAAATCAAGGGCTTCTGGGATCAAGTGCTTCTCGCGTTGACCGAAAATGACTTAGACACCCCAATAGTCATGCTTTACAGCGTTAATGACGAAAACGACAGCGATTCGTCCTCCCTGCACTCCAGCAGCTTGCTCGGCTCAAAACAGTGCTACTTGGAGGGCTCATTGGGCGTTCCAGCTGGGCACCAAGCTGCACCCGATCAGATTGATCTCAAAGACGGACAAGAAGGCTTCGGGCCTGTTTTCCGAGAAGTCATGAAGACGGATAAGCCTGCCGTCGTTAGTATCGGATCGGATGACTTGCCAGCCTCCATGATGGAAGGAATAGAATGGCGCGGCTTCGGAGACCCTTGCCGGGAGATTGTCATCTGTCCCATTCACCCCACCACGGGTGAAAATATCCTTGGCTTCCTCATCATGGGCATCAATCCAAGGAGACCTTATGATGATGACTACAACCTTTTTGTTCAACTGCTTAGCCGACAACTTGCTACATCACTGGCTTCCGTGGTCCTTTTCGAAGAAGAAATACGCAGGGGCCAAAGAGCAGCCCGACTAGCAGCAGAAGACAGATACCATCTCTCTACACAGCTTGCCGCACGCACACAGGAAGCCCGAGAAAGCGAGACCAGGTTCACTCGCATGGCCGAGTTATCACCAGCAGGTTTGTTCATTGCTGATCATGTTGGAAGAATAACGTACTGCAATGACACGTGGTACGAAATTGCACGAGTGCCAAGAGAGCCCGAGATGACGGACAGATGGATTGATTACGTCAGAGATGAGGATCAGTCATTGATCCTTGAGCATTGGGAGCGACTGGTTAGCGATACTACGCCCATTAATCTCGAATTCCGATTCAAAGCACCTTGGGAAGATAGGGACCGCACAAAGAGCGACACATGGGTGCTGTTCTCGGCTTTCCCCGAAAAGGACGAACACGGGCAGCTCAAGAGTGTTTTCGGTAGCATCACGAACATCTCGCCTCAAAAATGGGCTGAAGGGTTTCAAAAACGGAAGATGGAGGAGGCTGTTGAGCTCAAACGCCAACAAGAGAACTTTATCGACATTACGAGCCACGAAATGCGAAACCCCCTTTCCGCTATCCTCCAATGTGCTGATGAAATTTCTACTATCCTAGGTGACTTTAGGGCTTCAGGCTCTCAAGTCATCGAGCCGGGTATTGTAGCCGACTCTATAGATGCTGCACAGACGATCGCCTTGTGCGCACAACATCAGAAGCGCATCGTCGACGATGTCCTGACATTGTCGAAACTCGACAGTGCAATGCTCATGGTATGTTTTTTTTGCGAAAACAGAATTGGGATCGTCTAACATGCTTGATAGGTAACGCCGGTAGATGCGCAGCCATTACAAGTCGTACAGCGTGCATTGAAGATGTTTGAAGGCGAGGTTCAAACAGCCGGTATACAGATGGAGTTTGTCCTCACCGATTCTTTCACAAGTTTAGGAGTCGATTGGGTCAAAATTGATCCGTCACGAGTCCTGCAGGTGAGCGGAAAAGTGCATGCGGCAGTTTCTTTTATAACTAATCTGGATACAGGTGCTCATCAACCTTACCACAAACGCCATTAAGTTTACAACAACTGAAGAAACAAGGACTATCAAAGTAGTCCTCTCAGCATCTCGAGAGCGCCCATCGGCACGGAGCAACCCTACAGTGAACTACTTTCCCATGCGGGCCAAACGCATAGACCAGACATGTGGCCCCGACTGGGGAGAGGGCGAAGAGATCTTCTTGGAATTTGCAGTTCAAGATACAGGCCGAGGACTAACCCCGGAGGAAAAGAAACTTCTTTTCCAACGCTTCTCGCAAGCTAGTCCACGAACCCATGTCCAATACGGTGGATCTGGCCTAGGCTTGTTCATCTCGCGGGAGCTCACTGAGTTGCAAGGAGGCGAGATTGGCGTCTCTTCCGAGGCAGGGAAGGGAAGTACATTTGCCTTTTACGTCAAGTGCAGGAGGAGTATCGAGCCAAAAGACACATTGGAAGTTCTTCCAGCTTCCTTGTCACGAAAAGTGTCCAATGCCAAAGACAAGGGAAGGACTGGAATGCCCGTACCGTCACAGTCGAAAACAGTAACCAAGGACTTCGCGATTGTGCCAAAACAGGACAACGTCACACCAAAACCAAAGCCAAAGAAGGAGATGAAGGTGCTCATCGTAGAGGACAACTTGGGTATGTTACCAAATCTATTCATTCTAATTGCATTACCACTGATGCTCTATAGTCAACCAAAGAGTCCTTCAACGCCAACTCCAAAACCAAGGCATACAAACCATTGTCGCAAATCACGGCGGTGAGGCTCTCGAATTCCTGAAATCATCCACCTTCTGGGCCTCCCCTTCCACCACTACCACCGCACCCCTAACCGATATCTCGGTTGTCCTAATGGATAAGGAAATGCCTGTCATGGACGGTCTCCAATGCACGTCCAGAATTCGTGAACTAGAGCAGCACGGAAAGTTCAAATGCCACGTCCCCATTATCGCCGTCACGGCCAACGCTCGCAGCGAGCAAATCGCTACTTTGCTAGCTGCCGGTATGGACGATGTTGTCAGCAAGCCATTCCGAATTGGCGAGCTTATACCCAAGATTGAGGATTTGGCCAACCGTTTTGGGAACAAAAAGTTGACGACTGATACTCCTGCTTTGAAAGTCCCAGCTGAACCCAGTGTACAAACGTACGGCGTATGACGAAGTATATGAGACAGGATTTTAATTTCTTCGCACACACACACTTTTCGGGTATCCTCCTGTATCCTTGTTTAATGCATTCAGCCTTGTCTCGTTGTTCTTCTTCCTCTTATTCTTGGATCTTCTTCACAATTTCGTATTAGTAAGCATACACACAACTGGAGTTTTTTTCCGCGCTCATTAACGATATGGGAGGTTTTTGTTTTCTTTCTGGTTGTTAATGAAGCATTTTCGGGATGTGTATACCCCCCCTCCTCCGTGTTTCTAGAGGGAAAAAAACGGCATGCGGGTAACTAAGGGATGAGTTGTAGAGACAAAATAAAGTACAGTCCAATACAGATAGATGTATAGGTGGAATAATGAAAATTTAAACAAAGAATAGCTTAGCGATGTGGATTGAATAAGTGAAGATATTGCTTGGGGCATAAGTAAAGGGAAACATCCTCTAGCATCCCGCAATCATGGTATTATACTCTTACGTTAATATATACCACGGAAGCCTTAAGCTCCTACGAAATACATATATTGCGTATATCCCACACCTATCACCTCTTTGCATCTCCCCTCTTACACTAAACACGCTGCAAAGCGACCACACTACTAAAGCGTCTGTATCATCCAACACGCGTACAAGCGAAGGTTACCTCATAACCCCATCACGAATTGCTCAGTGTCGATAATGCACATTATCTAGCTCTAAGCTAGCTACTAGATTTCTGCTATATATTAGCATCGTACTACGGTCCTATAATTTACTTTTTTTTCTCTCTATCAAGTCTGTTGGTGGTAGGATGATAATTGTTACGCTAGAAATCTCGGCAGTTAAAGAGTTCATCTCTTAGTTCGATTAGTGTGCACTACGACGGCAATAAACTGCTTGTATACTCTCGCCAGCATGCCGAATACATCGTGCCACTCCAGGAGGAGATTCGCGTTGTACAAGCCGCTCATGGTGGAGTCTTGAATGCTCAAGCTCTGCAATAATTTGTCAAGCTCGACTCCGGCTTGGAGGAAATTGGCCGCATGTTTCTTATAACCGTGATTAAGTCTTCTTAGGCTCACTGTGACATTACCATGTACTAATAAACCTGCAACGGCTTTCCAGCGCATGGCCCTAAAACTCTTCGCCCTCTCGAATGGCCAGCAGATTCCAGCAGGCACCACGATCCAAACTCCCCTCGAAAGCGCTCAATTACGACTCAAATGTGCATGCCAACGCGGAAAACTTTGACAGTTTCCAAATACTACAAGGAGCGTCAATTGGCGAAGGAAATCGAGGTAGCGCAGTCGCAATTTGTCTATGCCAACACTCGGGATTTGTACTTTGGATACGGCAGACACGCTTGCCCGGGACGGCTTTTTGCAGCAAACGAAATCAAGATTATCATGGTACGCCTGCTCTTGGATTACGAGTTCAAGATGCCGGGCGATCAGACTAAGCGCTACGACTAGATTAGCTATGCTAAGTTTATCTCGCCAGATGCGTCCAAGATGTTGCTCATGAAGCGTGCATACTAGGCGGAGATTCTTATAGACGTGCAGATAAGTTGTCTTGACAATTTCTGCCTCGTATTAATTACTGTTCTGCAATACAGCAAGACGCTGGATCAGTGGTGCGACTAGCGGTATGGTTGATGTGGTATTTGTACGCAGCAGAGCAAATCTCAGGAAACATCCCGCACTTGGTGAAAAAGACGCAGTGAACGCACGCGCTCGTGCTGTCGCGTACGTTGAAGAAGCTCAAAGCCTCACCGTATCAGCCTTTTTTTTTTCTTTTTAGACACGCGCAAAATCTCTCACATCTCACTTACGATAGACCATACAATTTGAGTGTTCTCTTTTGAGTCTTTCTTGAATACTACATCACCCTTTGAAATGGCTCATGATAGCCAATACTTCAGAAATGTGAGAAATCTGTTTGAGAGTATGGCACAATACGTGATTGAAATGGTACAATAGAGCTGAAATCCAATTTGAAGTATTGTACATATTGAGCGAAGAAAGTAGTGTCTATTGACTTCGAAAAGAAATCCCAATGTATATCTGCAGTCTGATCATGTGATACTGCACCACACTACTCAAACCTCAGAGCCTCCAAATCAATCTCCGACTCTCTCTTCCTGTACCTCAAAGTAGTCTTCGGGTTTACCATGTAGTTGATTCCGAAGATATTCGGCTCAGCAGTTGTTCCAGGAGCCAGTTCCCAATCGTATCTGAGAAGAAGAAAACTGAGCGCAATCTTGACCTCATTGGCAGCGAAGAAGCGACCAGGGCAGGCATGCGTTCCATGGCCAAATGCGAGGTGTTCAGGGCTCGTGCTTACAAAGTGTGCTTTGTTCGCAAATTCGGGGGTTTCTCGTAAGCGTAACCAACGGTAGATGTCGAACTTCTCTGGGTTCTCACTTGGGGGTAGTTGTGTTCCGTGAGTGTCTACCAAGATATACTGCCCCTTGCGGATAGTGATGTTGTCTTCTTTTAGGTGTACGTCTTTAGTTGCGATACGGTGCATAGCCACTTCAAATACATCGTCAGCGGGATGACTCTTTAATAATCCTGCAATGACTTACACTGCTCGTTAGGCAAAACTCTTTGTGCTTCCTTCATTGCACTGTCCAAAAGCTTCATGTTGAACAGCGAATTTTTGCACCATCCATCCTTTTTCAGGACACGAATTATTTCTTCCCGGAGGGGTTCAATTTTCTCAGGCTCTCCAGCCAAGAGCAATAAGATCTTTGACAAAAGGTCCGATGTGGTGTGGATAGCAGCAAAAGATAGAGTGAGTTGTAGTGAGGCAGGATCATAGCCGATACCTTTGCATTCCTGCTCACCCCATTCGATAGCATCATTGAACTTCGGAATTGGCTTTCCTTCCTTGCGTGCCTGTTCTTTCAGTAAACGACGCTCCTCGATCACTGGCCTGATCAGCTCCTGAGCGCGACGTAGCTCTCCACGAACAACACTGCATTGTTTAGAGAAGAGAGGAATGAGAAATTGAAGAGCAGAGGGCACAAGCGTCAAGTCGAATGCCGCTTGGAACATGTCCACGGTATACATCTTCGTGACCTTAAGCCAATCTTCGTTGCGGCAAAGTTTGTCGCCTAGGAAAACACGTGACGAAAGACGTGCGATAATGTCCAGTGTCGAGTCCAAAATGAGGGTTTCTTGCCAATCTACTTTATGTCAGACCATGTGAATCACAGAAAGATTACCTAGACTCAAAGCCTTACCGGTAGGATTGCCCAAGGTTTTGCCAATCGCGAAGATAGCTTCGGAAGCTAGGGGCTCGGTAACAGTATCTAGTTAGATGCATTATAAGCCTTAATCCATACGAAATTTCTCCTTAATATCAAACTTACTGAGAAGTTTGGTGAGTGGTTTTCTAGCAACGTTTTGCAATATTTGCCCCTGATGGTCTATGACTTGCATAGCTGTAAATCCTGCAACATGGGCATGGAAGTCCTGGATAATGAGCTTTTTCTTGCCTCGTATATAGAATTGACAGAACCTACCTGTATGACCGTTTTCGAAAAGCTTAGACCTGGTTCGTTACGGATAGTGTTCGCAAAGCGTGTTGGAAGAACAAGAACTTCTCCGTTATTGTTGATGAATCGGTATGGCTGGTCCGGAAACTTCTTCCGGGCCTCATTCAGGATATTCATGCCGTTTTTCACAGCGTCCACCTGATTCGTAGTCGTTGGGGCATACCATGCTGGAGGGTTGGCGTGAGGAATTTTGCTGTTTTTTCTACTTAGGACGAATACCGCAATCACAGCGGCAAGTAATATCGAAGTGGTGACAGGATTGAGCACAAGTGGAGGCAGGCTGGTCGGAAAGACGACCGTTGGAGGTCTTAAGGTCTCCATGTTGCCAAACAACTAAATGTGTTTAGATGGATTTATGTTAACCAAAAGGTGTGGGTGTATCTGAAAACTTGAGACGAGGTTCGATTGAAAAACAATGAATCCTAGCATGTGAGAACTGTGGTGGATTTTATCTGTTTCTATATTAACCCAAGTTGTTCGGTTCGGATCGATAACGTATCCGACCCTTCCTCAAAATTCTTATTGGTAGATGACGTCTTTGGCATGTTACGTCCTCTGTGAACGGTTGGTTAAAAACTTGTTCCGGATGGCGAGATCCACTTTAATCCAAGCTAGCTCTATTCCTAGATCAACCCTGCATGATCGGCATCTTTGAGCCAACGCGCAATCAGCAAGAAGCGCTTGGGATATGATAGCTCTTTCATTCGTTCTCTTTGAAACACGCTCCTATCAACTCCTCATTTGACTCTAGTTTCGACTCAACAAAACTTAGAGTCTGCCAAAATGCATCAATCGATCGATTCTTTCACGAATGCAGGTCAGGCATTATGAGTCTGGAAGAATATCAGAAGTTTCTTGGGCACAGCTCCTGTGGTATTGACCTCAAAATTTGATGTGCGCACTAGGTATACACTGCCACCATACCCCAGTAAGAACAGTAGCTAACGGGTGAGGGGCTGCTATTCTTCCGGTTTACTATACTTGAGAAAGCAGTAGGCTGTCTCGATGCGAACGGGATCGTGGATCTTTCGTTACCGATGCATAATCAAATTCATATGCGGGAACAGGACTAGATACTTAGTACGATCCACCCCTAATTTTCAAGGGTCCGCATTGTGCGCTCACTTGTATACATGGGTAAGTTTCATCAGTTCATTTTATCAGCCAATAGGATTCAGAATAGAATGATCTACATAGGGGTGATATTAACGATTTTTATTACTATATAAGGGTACTTTAAGGATTACTAAGAGTCAGGGTAAGAGCACTGATCTATACCAGAGTCCTAATTTTCTTCTGATCATAACCAGCGTGCACTTTTACTTGTTTTAGAATCCTATACTATAGAAAATTAAACCAAGGAAACTTAACCATGTATATTAGTAGATAAAAATTAGTTATTAAAAGTGGCTTCTATAGTATAAAGTGGTAAATAAAGGCTTTGGATGTAGATACGACGCTGTACTACTTCGGATGGATCGGTCCCTGATCTATACCAGACTTAGGAACAATTAATTTGGTCGGCTGTTTGATTCGCGAACGTGCCGGAGATGGTGACGTGTACGGTGTCATGGAGCACGATATGGCACATTTGCGAATCAAACGGCCGACCAAATTGATTGTTCCCAAGTCTGATCTATACTTAGCGGATGCTAGCGTAGTAGTATAATACAAAGCTAAGTAGTTAGGAAAATAGATAAAGAGCTGTGTTAGGAATATCTTGATTCTCTATATAAATATATATTTTAATTATTAGCCATAAAAAAGTAGGCAAAGAACCGAAAAAAAGTCCCTGATTTCCTGATGCGCCAAGTCGTGCGGAGTTTGCGGGGGTGGGCGTTACGTAACCGCTGCATGACGTTAGTACCCTGCTTGCCTGTGCGTACCGTATGCACCGTATTCCCCGTATGTACCGTATCCCCTATATCCACCGTATTTAGTGTACTCGGAAGTGGCGTAAGCTCGGCCATATAGTGTTCGGCCACATATAGTGATCGGCCACCTTGGCCGCCCACCACAACGCGTGACTCTCGTCCATATTCTCAACACCGCAGATCTAAAATGGATCCCCGTGAGCTAGCTATACAATCTACTATTAGAGATTTAAATTCTAGTGTTTTTACTAGCTAGCGTAAGGCTACTTAGGCCTATAGTGTTCCACGATCTA